AAGCAGTGGTATCAACGCAGAGTACTTCCATTTCGGACTGAGTCGATGTTACTACGCAGCAGTCGTCGATGTATCGACAGTACATTATGGGCAAGCGTGCAAGTACTGGCTCCTCTATCTTACTCATAAAGCAAATCGCGAGGGCTGGGCTAGTCGTTGACCCATCGCCAACCCCCTGATCTGAGAATAGTAATTCCCAGACCATCTAAAGATGTTACACTTCAAACATTAATGTAGTAATGCCGCAGTCTTTAGACCGAGAGATTGCAGAAATGCATCTTTCCGACGCGACAATCTACAAACAAGCGACGAAGTGAGACTTCCAGATATATGTAAAAGGTTGAACGAAATTTGGGTTTCTGTGGCTAAAGCTGCAGGCCTTGATGAAAGATTAGTTAGCAGGTTGAGAATGGACAATGCGATCTGTCCAGTATTTTACCATATGGTTAAGACTCATAAAATTGCAGCGCACGAGAATCACTCTATGTCACCAGCAGCCTATAAGGTACGCCCTATAAAGCTGTGTTAACGGTCCTACCAACAGAATATCATGGTTTCTCAATAAGATCTTAAGCCAGTTATTTCCAAAGATGCCATGCATCTATCCAATACTTGGCAGTTCATGCAGCAGTTGCGGGATACGAACATCGAACATGATAGTGTCATCGAGTCTTTCGACGTAACATCCTTGTACACAAATGTTCAGAACGATGCTGCACTGCAAGCATTGTCAGAGATGTTGGAGCTTCACTACAACGATATGGTCACCTTTGGACTGAGCAAAGCGTGCATACTGACCCTTGTCAATGAATGTTTGAAGTGTAACATCTTTAGATGGTCTGGGAATTACTATTCTCGGATCAGGGGGTTGGCGATGGGTCAACGACTAGTCCCAGCCCTCGCGATTTGCTTTATGAGTAAGATAGAGGAGCCAGTACTTGCACGCTTGATCATAATGTATTGTCGATAAATCGACGACTGCTGCGTAATAACATCGACAGTCCGAAATGGACGAATGTTTCGCGCTTTTAAACCAGCAGTCACAGTACATTAGGTTTACCAGAGAAACCCCGTCCAATGGGTGGCTTCTGTTCCTGAACACCCAGATAAACTTATTTGGTGGCACGATTCGAATGAAATGGTACAGGAAAGAAAGCTCAAAGAATATAATAATACATGCAAAGTCAGCGCATCCTACAACGACGAAACGTGCAATTCTTAAAAACATGTACAGAACGGCTGTAGAAGTTTGCACTGGCGAAGAAGAGCGGCTTGAATCCACTAGATTGGCTACAACGATTGCGCGCAACAATGGCTACACAGATCGGCATATTGGTAGACGTCCACGATCTGGTAGTCAAACTGCACGTAACGACAAGAGAGCCCCACTTTGCATACCTTTCATCTCCGATGAAATGAGTGCAGCGATAAAGCAGTGCATTACTCGAGCACAACTGCAAAATGAGGTTGTACTGGTAAACAACCCGAACGAAAGTATCAGGAAGCAGTTGGTGCGAAACAGGTTATACGATACAGAATGCGTATCAGAGCAATGCATTGTTTGCCCACACCGAAAATTAGGAGATTGCGCGAAGTCAGGGGTCGTATAACAAGAGTGTTCAAGCTGCGGAGCGTCCTATATAGGTGAGACGGGCAGAGCATTGAATATCAGGGTCAAAGAGCACTTAGCAAACAAAAGACGAGGGAAATTGGTATCACCGTTGGGGAAGCATAAATTTGAAGCACAGGCGGAGCTGAGTTTGAGGTCAAATGTTTTATCTTAGCGTACGAGACAGAAATTTCTGCACGAAAGATGCTGGAAGCTATGTGGATTTCTTTGAAGAGCTCAAGCATGAATAATAAGAATGAATGCTGTCAATGACAAATGATCTTCTGCCTTTTCTATCCCTATGTGAACAGCCTTATATATAGACGTGACACACCGAGTGACACTCAATGTCGTCCGTCCGCAACATCCCTGCGGCTATCGTCCGCCGCTCCTGCGGACCACTAACATCTTCATCACGGTGGATCAACGGTTGGTTCTTCTGCCAGCGTGCCTCTCTGTACGTTGTGCATAAGACGAGGTCGACTCGGTAAGTACGGAGATGACGTTTGGCGGCGTAGTCTCACAGGTCAGGACTGCAATCATCTTTCAGACCTCCGAAGAAGACGACCTTGTCGAAACGTTAGGTCAATAAAGATACCACCGTACTAATCTGGGCTTGGCAGAACATCTATTACAATTTACGATTGGAGGATGATTTCTGAAGAGAAGTGGCCTAATTAGCTATCACAAAACAGTTCTCATCATCATAATTATGTATTGCTTTTGAGCTTTGCATGTATTATGGAGCGCACTGCAAAAATTAAGATTTATTAATCCGTTGTAGGTTATGTTCATTCCTGAATATGCCAAAGCAACATCGAATTTTGACGGGACAAAGCTAGCAAAAGTTGTGAGGATGAACAATATCAGTGGGTGGAACGTTTTCTATAAGTTTACCATTTTGATTGAACAAAATGCGCATGGCCTAGTATAAGCATGTACATACTAGGTTCACGATACGATGATGACATGGATGGTTTCGAAGAAGGCTTGATGACGGAGAATAACCTAGGCTTTCGCGATAGACTATATTTCGAGTACAGTAATCAGTATATGTGCGAAAGTGAGAATGCAAGCTTTCTCCACGGTTTTTTAAATATTACACTACTCAGAGCTGATGGCACGTCGACAAGAACTGGAATATCTCAAGAATTATGGTTTTGATGCTGCATTCACTGAACAAATTGACTTTTGCGGCGTCGGAGTTATTAGGTAAATATAAGCAGAAGATGGTATGTGCTCTAATACGCCAACTTTAGATACCTTGGTATACAAAATCTATTATGGATCTCAACAACACCGCTTATGGACGCTGTAAGCTACAACTTAGGTTTGTTACAATGAGTAGAAAGCCGCTTAAAATAAGAACTTTGCGGACGTTCCCAGGTGTCCCTTCTCCTACATCTTATGTGCCAACAATAGAGGAGAATGACAATGGAGACACGATGAGCTTTTGGAAAAGAGCATACAATATGTATATGTACATAGGAACGATCTATATTCATCGACATGGGACAGATCTCATTACAGAGGCTTCTTTTTAATTTTAAACGCTCGACATGAACCTGCAATACCGCTCACAGAATGTGCAAATATTCCGTGAATGTCGCAGAATTCCAGGTTCCGCGAAGGTTCGCGAAATTTCGGGAATTTCGCGAAATTCCTGGAATTCCGCGGAATTCGCGAACCTTCGCGGAATTGCTGGAATTCTGCGACATTCACAGAAATTTTGCACATTCTGTGAGCGGTATTGTATTTGTGTACAATCAGCAACCATATTTTTTTAACAAGTTAAGCCATCTCTTTGCGTTTCGAGCTATTCTCTCACATTTTTTCCTATGAAAAAGAAACCATACTCTTACCATTGAATACTTTAACTTCACGAGTACAAGCCGCACCTGGTTTTCTAGACTCGTTCACTCTGAACACACCAAAAAGTTCCGCGACCGAAAGACCCATACCGTGCGCGCGTTGCCTAAAGGTATTGTGCGGTGTAAGTTTCGTCTTCTGAAACACAACAACGCTGCTGGTTTGAAAAATCGAAAAGGGTTCGTCTTGTTTTCGTGAAGTTAGGATATTTTGCAGTTCTTCCAACTTCTAACTAAGCAGTTTTGTCGCACAGTTTGTGACTGAATATTTGAGAGCTTTGTTGGTTTCAGTGGAAAAGACATTCAAGTAGAATAACAATTAAATGGCTCATATTTGGCATTATTATGTGATTTTAATGTGTTTTGAACTCCATGCTTTTTTATGTCAAACACACGTTGTGTGGAACACTCGAACGTTGCTCTCTACCTACACCTTCATTGTGACATATCACTGCCCCAATAAAAATCGAGGAAAACTTTCGCAGTCTCTCAGTAATTTAAAGCCATTTCGACCTTTTTTTTGCGAGCCTCTCTCTGGCTTTCCTTTTCCAACGTTTAGTTCTTCTTCCTCACCTTTGTTCGCTTATCTCATGAAATGGAGCTTTAGGTGTTTCGCAGGATCGACCCAAAGTTTCCTCATGTTCGTGAAATTGCTGCCAATGCCAGTCTTTGCTTCGTGAACGCTGATGAGATGTTCGATCTCCCAAGACCAATCATCCACAAGAATATTTACATTGGTGGTTTAGGGATAAGTGAGCCTAAGCTATTGAACGAGGTTCGTAAACCTTTTGCTCATCTAGGTACCGAAAACGCTGCTTGCAGAAATTTACCGCTTTGATGAACAAGGGGAAGAATGGAGTAATTATCATCTCATTGGGAACTATTGTACCTTTTCACGTGCTGCCGGAAAGAGTGAAAATAGGATTTGCAAATGTTATCGAGTCTATGTCAAACTATCACTTCATTTTAAAAGTTAGCAAAGGTTAGAAACATATGTCTTTACGGATAATTATTGGTTGATTTGTAACCACGATACTAGTGACCGGCAGCGGTAAGAGCTTTTATAGTCAGGGTTGAGCGTGAGCTCAGGTGTGCGCGACCTTGAAAGTCCTATTAGAGGTAAGACTGAGGGGAAAGGGCCGTAATAAAGAATCGAATTCGTCCAGAAATTTGAGGAGATATTACAATTAAGGTGAAGAAGAAAACCGCTGGTTTGGTGAATATCGCAACCCCACCAGTACTGAAGAAATGACGCGTGAACAGCATACTGATTAATTTCACAATCGAGTTTCAGCCAGAATGCAAATAACTATTCATTTTTTACCTTGACATATCATGAGATCACCAAGGAAGCTTGCTATGTAAAATGAGTGTCACTTTCAGCAATCAGCATGTCAAATCACTTCTATGAACTCTACAAACTATATAACCATAACTCCTAGTGTTTCTCAAAGTCTAAAGAGCGTTTTCAAACATAATTAACTTCAAAAGTAAAAAAAGTCATTTTTTTATATTCATAACTAAGCAATGGTATCTACCAGTCTATGCGAAAAACAGCCTTCCCATTGCTTTCAAATGGTAGAGTAAGAAGTGTGCCAAAATTTCAACCGGAGCGTTCTTCACCTTGAGTGCCTCGAATTCACGGGGTTACCACAAGGCCGAAAGAAGTCGAAGCAAACTCAAACCCTCGCTATAGAATCCTTCAAGTAATCGTCCTAGCGGTTCACATAAAACTTATGAAAAGTTCTTTCGGGAATAAAATTGGTGGGGTCAGGCATAATCCCCCCCCCCCAAAAGGTCAGGCTGCCTGAGCTTTTGTGGGCTTGTGCCCTTCCTCCTTAAAGGCAGCGTCCACCCAGAATTTGGCGCCCCCATATTTTCGTTATTCTGGGGCCTTTCCGTGGCCCTGATTATACTTTCGAACTTCAAATTCTCTAAAATTCGCAAAAAACCCAATTTTTGGGGACTCATTCTTGAGGGCGCGGACGAGTTTTGAATTGCTCGTCCCCGTCGGCAGGCCAGCGGGAAGGAGCTGCAACTGCATGGGTGCAGTTGCATTGCAGTGTGCAGTGTGCAGCTTCTGCTCACTGCCTTGTCAATACGTGTCGGGAGTCACGTATTGACAAGGTAGTGAGCAGTCCCTGATGGGCGGAGTCTGATATCAGACTCCGCCCAACCGGGGACTTTCAGGCCCCTTATCTCCATTCAGAGGTAACGTTAGAAAACCGGACCAACGCAGATGCCCCTTTTCTTGGGCCTACATTCAGGTTCGACACTAATCGGAGGGGGTTAGGTTTAGCCTGGACACTGCCTTTAACCTGCCCCTAACATTCAAAAATCGCTCCTTTAGTGTGAGCATTGAAAAGCCTCTTTTTGCTATAGTGAGAATTTGAAGCCATACACTCCACCCCTGTGGAAATTATAGCTCTGAAAAGAGCCATCCAGATCCAAAATTTGCCGTCAAGTTGCGTGTGCCGCATAGTCGTGCAATCGCAGAAAGTCGGGCCGACAATCCAGAAAAACGGGAACCCTTCAGTAAAGACTGATTCTCTTCAAAATGTAAAGGCTGAGGTCTTGGGGTGGTGCGGGGGGTCTTTCAGGTTTTCAGAAAGGGGGGGGGGGTGCTCGTCTTTGAAAAATTTGTGCCTGAACTTCGGCTCAACACTGATTATAGTCAAACCCTAATATATTTTCTTTGAGAAAAAAAGGCTACAGAACCTTATATGTTTTTTACGCTTTGGAATATATGAGAGGGGGTGAAATAGATTATGTCAAATTTACTACAGCTACCTGAAGCAATGATTTTTTTCGAATTCGTAATCGAATATCGAAAAAAATGAAAATCGACACGCTACGATGATTGAGATTTTACTTAAATTTTTTTGGGAAGGTGGGAGGGAAGGGGGATAAAAATTGTTTTCGAATGAAAGGGTGCCGCGTCTTTGAAAAGCTTTTTGGAATTTCGATGTGGGCTTCTAACAGTGAAACTAGGAAAAGAGGACATAGCGGCAGCCGCACCTCCAAAATCGTTTCTCCAATATTTGATTCTCAAATTGATGTTTATTAACTAGAATTCATAGCCTTCTTTTCAAAGAGTTACATATACCAGCTTTTGTGATTTTACAGAAATGGTTCTTTGACGTTTAAGATTTCACTTTTATCAAAATGCGGTAGTAATTTGCTAGCAAAATTACTCTACAGTCATTTCGGTAATGAAAGCATGCATAGTTGCTTAGTAATTTTAGGAGACAATAGTACACCATCTTTCTTCAAGGATGTTCCCAACTGTGACTTTATAGAGTGGTTACCTCAAAGCGACATATTAGGTGGGTATAAAATAGACCTATATATCGACCCTCATTTTCAAATATTTTTACCTAGCTCATCCTCGACTGAAACTCTTTGTTATGCATGGCGGTATCAATGGGTTGGAAGAAGCCTTGTTCAGGGGAGTTCCTGTTGTGGTTATTCCAATGTTTGCTGACCAATTTCGTAATGGTCGAAACGTTGAAAAGCGTGGAGTAGGGAAGGTAATGTTTTATACGAATTACTGGAAAACAATGTAAAGTCTTTAGGGCTTTCTGAGTCTTCCATTCGGAAAAATGGTTTTCGGCCATAATGCAACCTTATTTAGGTGATTTTGAAACTGGAACTTTCCGAAGATAAAATAAGATCCGCCATACAAGAGATACTAAGTGATAATAGGTAACACGGGCATGCTATTGATCTGTCCCTGTCTTTAAAAAAATGTGGGGGAAAAATCTCTACTTTCAGTTACAAACAAAATGCTATGCGCATGTCGAAGCTAATGCGAGAGAAACCATTCACTGCCGAACAACGGCTTGTTCGGTGGACCAATTTTGCTGTCGAAAATGGTATTTTGGATGTTCTACACGTACAAGGCTCTCGATTGAATTCTATCGTTTACTTCAATCTTGATGTGATAGCCGTTGTTACGTTAATTATATGCTCGCTTTTGATTGTCGTTGTCAAATTGTCAAGAGCTATTAGAAGAGCACTTTTCGCTAGAAAAGTTAAACGAGAATAGTTAGCATTGATAGATTTGAGTTGGTATGAGAAGCAATTGTGCCTTAGATAACTTTACGTTTTCTGGATCTCATGTTTCTTCACTTCGTGCGTTATGCTGATGAAATTGCCTCTATAAAATTGTGATGATTGATGGTTATGCTTTGATCGTACCCTAACTTCACGACTATAGCCAGGGGTTTTTTCTAAAATTGATCGGCTCAAACAGCCAAAGGATTCAGCAACCCAAGCTCCCTCCATCGTGTTGCGTGTTACCTGAGAAAACCGTACGACATAGCCATCGTTTCGCGAGGCACAGCGAAACGGCTGAGCTTCTTGTATTGAAAACGAAGGAGGTGCGTCTTGTATCTGAAATTAGGGCAGTTCTGCTCAGACAATCAAAGGCCATGTCTTATCGCCGCCACTTCCGCTTCGCGCTGAAGACTTTATGGCAGCCCGCTCGCTGCCAGTTCTAGCAAAGTTCTCAGCGGGAAGCGACAGTGAGGTAATAAGGCAACGGCGGCTTGCTCGGCGCTTTTGGTGGGGCCGGCTGAGAGCCTTTGATTGTCTGAGTGATTGATAGTACTGGATGAACTCAAAGTAGTTGGGCAGTTGAAGGATAACTGCAACTTCCTCATGAAAGAGAACTGATCAGAGCTTTGAAACTAGAAAATGTCAGAACTAAATTTGTTCAGCCAATACCTATATGAGGTTATTCACATGTTCAATGATTTCCATACTTGCTAGAATGCAAAATCAATCACTTTGAACAAGTAACTATGAGCAACAGAGGTGCGATGGGCGGAGCCGGGCCCACCAAAAGTGAAGGTGGTCCCAGCTACCACTGGTCGGCCAAAAGTGAAGGTGGTAGTGCCGGACACTCACCTCCCAAAAACGTCGACCGGGGGGGGGGGGAGGAGCAGCATTAACGTCTATCCTCCCAGGTCATTGCCGCTAGTGCGCGGAAAATAAGCAAAACAAATGCAAAAGGGATCATTGATAGCATATTTTTATGTATACAGCGTCATAAATATCTAAAGTAAACGTGCCTATCAAATAGTGTATTTGGAAGTAGCTCAGCGGAACTGTGTAAATTTTATTAATTGAATTTTGTTATAATGTACAGCGAAGACAGTAGGTCGATCCAGGCAGTAATCGCCGAGAACCAGAATTTAGAATGATAAAATAATGAAAAATCGTGAAAAATTATTCCACTGTTACAAATCTGCTGGCTAAAGACCTCCGCAGTTGCGACTTCATAGGTTTTGAAGGGTAGCGCTGTTCTACCAGACAGTGAAAAAATCAGTTTGATTTGAGGAGTGGCCGCCGAGAACGAGAATTTTGAAAAACCTTAAAAATCTTCACAATTTTAGGTTGCTTAATGACAACTGACATTTAAACTCTTATAAATCCGGACTTTGAATGTGTGTGATGTTGCGACTTTTAGATTTTGTAGGGTGAAATTTGCCCTATCAGAATATGTTTTAGCTGTACGGATCCATTGAAACATCGCCGAGATCCAGGCTCTTAAAAAAGCAGGTAAAAAACCGTTTTTCAGCTCATAACTTCTTCAGAATTGCATAATTCATGTTGCGACTTCATAGGTTGGATTCTCCTCATCAAGAGCTTTTAAATGATATATAATATGTGGGGGATTCACGCCTCCCACGGCATATGCCCGGGGATGGAGTACCTCTCTTCACTAATTCCCCACTGGTGGCCTCCCGCCAATACATTGAAATGGGCGGGGTGGAGAATTAGTGAAGAGGAGTACTCCACCCTGGGGTAGAGCCGCAAGAAACATTGAATCCCCCACATATTATATATCATCTGAAAGCTCTTGAAGAAGAGAATCTAACCTATGAAGTCGCAACATGATTCATGCAGTTCTGAAGAAGATATGAGCTGAAAAACGGTTTTTTACCCACTTATTTAAGAGCCTGGATCTCGGCGATGTTTCAATGGATCAATACAGCTAAAACATATTCTGATAGCGCAAACCTCACCCTACATAACCTATGAAGTCGCAACATCACACACCTTCAAAGTCCGGATTCACAAGAGTTTAAATGTCAGTTGTCATTAAGCAACCTAAAATTGAGAAGATTTTTAAGGGTTTTCAAAATTCTCGTTCTCGGCGGCCATCCTCGAATCTTACTGATTCTTTCACTGCCTGGTAGAACAACACTTACCCTTCAAAACCTATGAAGTCGCAACTGCGGAGGTCTTCAGCCAGCAGATCTGTAACAGTGGAATGACTTTTCACGATTCTCATTATTTTATCGTTCGAAATTCTGGTTCTCGGCGGTTACTGCTTGGATCGACCTACTGCACAGATATACGCTCTTAATACTTTCTTTTACATTCCTTTTGCTTATTTTCCTTCTTTTGATCTTTGGCAAAAAAGTTTTCAAACCCAAAAGTGAAGGTGGTCACCCTGTACCAGCTCAAAAGTGAAGGTAGGCGGAGAATCGGCTCCGACTATCGCACCTCTGATAAGCAATATCTGCACGACAATACATGTGGGACCACTCAGAGTACCGCTGCTGCTTACAGTCAGCAAACCTACGACCAGTATTGAAAGTCAGAGGATATGGTCAATAGAAGTTTTGAGCCGGAAGTACTGTTATTTACTCCTCTATATACGGACCCACACCTAGCTTCCATCATAAAGGAGAACCTTGCGCTATACCCATTCATGTGCAGTTTACCTCAACTTTCTTCTGTCTTCAAGAAATATAGGCGAACGGGCAAATGCGTTTGCAACTGTATCTTGCTAGTTCTGTTGAAGAATGAGCGGTCATACCTTTGGTCGTGCCAGGTTGGAAGACTTTTTACGATTTTCACAAGACTGAAGTAGTGGTAGACTCCTTGATTGTAGATGAGCTAGAAGGGGAAGGAGAAAATAATTTCGCACTTATCATCCATCCTTGCATCATTCCCACAAAGGATCTGCCTTCGAATAAATCTTTATATTACAAAAAAGACAATTTTGACTTTTGTCCTTTTGAATCACGCAATTTATCTGAAATGTATTAGGTTGTATCCCATCTAATTTCTTTAGTAGGAAGAGGTCTTCCTCTTTGTAGAGGTTAATTAATGAGCTACAACTATACATTAACTGCAGAGATAAATGAAAAAAAACCACATAAGCTCAGATTATTTTGAGTTAGATTGCCAAAAGCCTGGAGTGCTGCAGAAAAATCTGAAATTGTCATTATATAAACTATGAACTGTTCTCTGCATCTGAGAGAAAATTGTGCTGTTTGGACGTTTCAGTGAAAAGTTATGATTTTTGAAGAAACAAATTAATGAAATTTGGAGTTTTCTAACATAAACTCGAAAACTATATCTTGCAGAGACGTTCAAACTGTACAATTTCTCTCAGATGCAGAGAATTGGTTATGAAACTGATACACTAGCAATTTCAGATTTTTCTGCGGCTATGCAGACTTTTGGCGACCTAATTTAAAATGGTCAAAGCTCAAGTGGTCTTCTTTTTCCATTTTTTTCTCTACGTGAATGTATAGTTATGTAATGTAGCTCATCGAGATACCTCTGCAAAGAGGAAGACTTCTTCTTTCTAATAAAATTAAAAAGAAGCAAAACCGTTAAGACAGCAAAGAGTTACAAATTTTCAAAAATGAAACGATAACAGAACTTTTGGGACAATCTAATAACCGAGTTTGTATGAGAGCAGCCTTATTAATGGAAAGTAAGCAAATGAAGGCCTTTATACTTATACCAAACTTTTGAACTTGGAGCATCATCTGTTGGAGCACCAGGAAAACTGAAGGTCATCCTCATGAAATAATGTTTTTCTTACATTTCTTGGCCTTTTCTAGTCAACAGTCAATATTTCGGCAAAATGCTCATTGAAAAAATTTTTTTGATACCGATTTTGCTGTGGCAGATTTTTTTCACTAGCCTCAGCCGGAATGTTTCGTGTGACTTAGAATTTTTTCAAAAAAAAAACCAAAAAGAAAATCTGGTGTATGAGAGTTAGCAAATAGTATACACTGAAGTACTTGCTGTTGTCCGCCATCATCTTTGTTATAAATCGAATACCCAAGATGATCAATGAATTTTGTCTGAAAGGCGCCGAACTTTTTTCATGCTCCAGGATTTTTTCATGCGGGAATGAGTGATTAGAGATAATTATCATGCTAAGGAACGATTTATAATACAGGGTGCGGCAAAAGTCTGGGAGCCTAACATTACAGTATTGCAATTACAAAGGTAGCACTTTATCTAGCTGGAAATGGCTGCCATATGTTTTTGTAAGATCGGAAATTAGCAAACTAGTACTTTTGCAAAGCGAGAAAACCAGAATTTTTAGTATTTACAATTTTTGCTATAGCTGCAAATGCTGTTAGTATTCTACGACACCTCGATGCACACAATATAGAAGAGGCTTTGCGCTATTGGATCGTAGTTTTGCTTTTGCCAGGAGCTGTTCTTGCATGGACGGAAAATAAAAGTTTGCGAATGTTACCTACGTGCCAGTGGAAATCCGTCTTCAGAACAAATCTAAAAGCTATAGAATGCTCAACAGGCACTAGGACCAAGGCTGTATTTTTTGCATACGTCTTCTAAATTAGAATCTATTGAAATTCGGCCATGGGAACACTTTTTATACTTTTTAAACGATAATTTTCTTTTTATACTTTTTAAACGATAATTTTAAGTTTTTATTAGGTCGTTCCGAAAGTTCTTTCCGTTTTTTCAACATATCATAAAAACGCGAGGAATGAATATAGGGAAACGCTTTGGGCACTCTCCGACGCAGTTTTTTCTGCTCTTTTCAGCCGACATATTTCTGAGCCGCTTGCTCTCGTGTTCCCTGAGATAATGGCCGAGATTTCGAACCCATCGATTTTACCATGTCCAACTTTGGCAATTTTTCGCAATCTTCTTTTCTAACTTTTGGAGGAGCTTTGATAGCAGTCAGATAGAGCAAACAAAGTGCAATGCAATGCAATTTTTTGACAATTTCAGCTAGCTTCCCATTATTTTTTGAGATAACTTTTTCAGAAGTCTTCACTTTTTCGAAGTCACAAAACACACAAACGCTCTGAACATCAACAAATCTTCCGTTTTCGGAACTTTCAAAAGTCGTTTATGATTGTATGCTATTTTTGCAAAGCAACTGAGCTTTTACCGCTCCGAAATATAAGATTTCGCATTTCACGGGTACCTCATGAGGCGCTTTCAAAATCAAGATTTTTGGAATTTTTATCGCCAAAGACCCCAAAAACTAAGAAGAAAAAGCACTCATTAGAAAGAGGAGAAAAAGCTGCATCGAATGACACCTTAGTTGTGCGCCGTTTTATGTTCTATGGCTTTTGGCATCCTCAAAAGTGGAACTTGATTGTATCAGAAAAATTATTCTAAAAATGTTTTGAGGCTAGCTATAGATGCCGAAAAATTGCATAAAATTGCACTTTGTTTGCACTATCCGAATGCTGTCAAACCTTTTCCAAAAGTCGAAAAAGAAGATAGTGAAAAATTGCCAAAGTTGGACATGGCAAAATCCATAGGTCCGAAAATTCGGCCATTATCTCACTGACCACAAGAGCGAGGGGCGCAAGAATATGAAAGTTAAAAAGAGGATGAAAAGTTGCGTCGTGTAGTGCCTTAAGCGTTTCTCTACCTTCATTCCACGTGTTTTTATGATAGGTTGAAAAAACGGAAAGAACTTTCGGAACGACCTAATATAAGCGCAATTGTAGCCAAAACTCCGGTATGCGACATACACATGTTTCTAATTGAAAATCCAATATTTTTATTCCTAAGCAATGCAAAAAATTCTTTTGGAGGCATTTTGTAGATAAAAGCTTGTTCTATCGTGCTGCACATTTGCCAAGGTAAAAGAAGCAGTTATTGCGAAGGCTTGGGGCGAAATTCATTACGACTACCTGCGTGCCATGACATGTGGACTTGCCAAGAATTTGTAGGGCTGCGTAGAAGCCAAAAGAGGCAGTTTTGCAATTCAAGAACTGGGCTGTATCTGCAATGGTTCGAATTATGCATGCACCAAATTTTTCGTTTTTAGGTACTTCTCTTCTCGTTTTGTACAAAAAAAGTACTAACAATAAGCTCCCAAACTTTTGCCGCACCCTGTTGATCAGTGATCCAACCTTTACTAGGCCAGACTTCAAGCAGGTAAGTTTTTGATTAACTAGTCAGTCACTCAACCAGCGCAAATCATTTCGGCAAAAATGGTGTAATGTGCAATTTTTGGCTTTGTTTTAGGTATGTTTTGTTGAATTGAAAGAGAGTAGAAGTGCAAGTGATCACGAAAACATGTGGACATATCGTTGTAATCAAATCACAACTATCCATTACTTCAACTATTTACTCCGTCTCCAGCGTGAACTTTTGTGTTCCAATTGATCCATCTAGTGACTAAAGGTAGAGTTAATCGACATATTGGTTGTGCTGCTCCGAATTTCCAAGCTTTGCTGTTTTCAATCAATTTTATAGCAAATGATTAACCAGTCTCATGAGTATTTTCTGAAAACAGGATGAAGCAAACCTCGTATTTGTTGATGATTATGGCCGCCGTAGAAGCTGGGAAGATTCTTGTATACAGCCCCTCTGTCAGCTATAGCCATCTGATTATGAATGGGAGAATAGCCGACACGCTAGTCAAAGCAGGACATGATGTGGTTGGTTGAAAATTGCTGTTCACCTATTTCTGTAACTTTGTTGCTAGGTTTTTTGTTCACATATAGCTCAATATGCGACCTTCAAGTAACTGGCTGGATAGATATATTTACCCAATATTGTCGTGAGTGAAGATCGCAATTTTATTGATAGCCCGAAAAAATTTTAAAGTCTTTTATGAATACTTAACGATGAGCGCTCATCTAATCAACATGCTGTCCAAAATTTGTCCACAATCTATTACCTGCTACCTTTATCGTACTCGCAGTCAACATGATCTTTCTTTACAAATACGAAATTTTGAAATAGTCATCTGCATGTTGTTATAGAAGTTGAAAAGTAGACCAGGGCATCAACACTATTCTTTTTGAACTTGAGTCAAACACTTTATAACATTTGCTAGAGATCTCGTAGATACGCTTTCATTCATACATGGATGCTCTGTTGCTACAGAAAACTTCAGTAAAAATTTTCTAGAAAGTTTCCACTCTCGAGACAGTACCACGAATTCTTCACCATCAGTAATTGTCTATGCTTGTTGCAAATGATCTTCAAAATCTAAAGTTTTTTTTACAAACACCTGTTCTCCCTCATAAAAAGAGATGTCCGTATACATTATACTAGCTGGCTTACCCGGCTACGCCGTATGTTCCGAATAGGAAATTCCATTTCTTAACCGATCCGGACCAAACTTGGCACACATACACTTCGGGCCCTGGCGGGTGTCACAGTCAACTTTTCGTTATCGATCGATGTCGATTTTATCAATTTTTTGCAAAATTTGAGCTAGGGGGCTGGAATTTGGTGGAGGGGTGTAATCGAGCATGCTGATCACCCCCACGGGGGTGATCAGCATGCTCGATTACCCCCCTGTGCCAACTCCCAGCCCCGTAGCTCAAATTTTGCAAAAAATCGATAAAATCGATATCGATCGATGACGAGAAGTAGCCTATGACACCCGCCGAGGCCCGAAGTGTATGTGTGCCAAGTTTGGTCCAGATCGGTCCAGAAATGGAATTTTCTATTCGGAACATACGTACATACATACATACATACATACATACATACATACATACATACAGACAGACAGACAGACAAACAGACATTCAGCTTTATATACAAGATTTATGCTATTAGGTCATCCCAAAAGTTTTTCCATATCAGAATTTTCACCAGCATAAGTCTGCTCTTCTTAGACTTCTGATGAGAAGCGGAGTACCATTCAGAAAAGTAAAGCAAGCTCTACAATATGACTTTCAAAAGTTCGTGCCAGGCTTGATCCGCATCGAGTTTCAGGACAAAATGGAAAAAATCCAAAATTCCGAAAAAACAAACAAAATCGCATCTTAGTTCAAAATTCTGCAAGGTTCCAACTTGCTCACGTATATATCTTCCCCACCAGACATTCATATATACACTTCCTGCATTTTTCTGACGGCTAGAAATCGAGAAAAAATAAAGCGCTTAATTTTTAAACTTGGCCTGTAATAAGTCTATGTTCCTCGCAAATGTGTCATTATATAGCTTATTCACTTAAGAATACTCCCACAAATTTGCACCCTTTTAGATGCCTTAGTTTTAGAGAATTATCGTTTTGAAGGTACGAATATGAAAAAACTTTTGGGATAACCTAATAGCTATACTGAAAACGGTAGAGCGCGCATAAGCTTTTCTGGAATTCAATTGGAGAATTCAATTGGATGAATTCTCAAATTTGCAACAATGGACCTTCGGTAGCGTGAAAACATTGGCATATGATTTACTAGAAAAAAGTAGAAATTACTATATTTCTCTTACTAATGAAAAGGACATTGGTATCGAGGCTTCCGTCATCTACATTGGCTAGCAGATGGTTCTAGCATAATTCAGGAAACGAGTACAAGTCTATTCTTGAAGAAATTATTTGAACAGAATAGTGTGCGCTGAAAAATTCAATTTCTAGTCTTTAGAATGAAATATTCTGGTAAAACGCCAATGTGAACGCGCATAATTTGTTCTAGGTGATGTTTATTCCTGAATACGTCAAAGCAACATCGAAATTTGATGAGACGCTGGCCAAAATTGTGAGGATGAACAACATCAGTAAGTATTTCGCTACCCATTCCCCCTCCCTTCCCCCATGAGAACAGGTTGCGAATCTTTGAATGTTGCTGCATGATTTTGAATTGCGCGAACGTTTTCATTCGCGTTTAATCAAAATTTATTGGAAATTTCAAAAACTTAAACAGCTTCCAAAAATTTTTGCGCAAATTCTAAAAAGCATGCCAGAATTTTTTTTTCGCAAGGAGTTCTTAAAGCCTGGCGCTCACAGGAAAAATTTTGTCCACCCTACTCTCAAAGTCTTTTCTACGTTTTATACCATCAACACTTTGACAATTCAACGTTGATTTGCTGTTTTGTTTGTGTTTGTCTCCCACCAAAAGGGGAACACGATCCAAACTTTCTAATATAATACTTAGGCTCAAAATTCGATGACGCAATGAGTGGCTTGGAGGAGCATCTAATGTCGAAGGTTTACGCAGGCTTTAGGGTTAGGCTGTATTTTACGTACACCAACCAGCACATGTGCGAAAGTGAGGTCTTTGCTTCAACAATCCATTTTAGCTTGAATCAGAATAAAGAAAGCCTGACAGGAAATCTTAAAGCATCGTAAACATTCAGAACTGATGGCACGACGACAAGAGTTGGAATATCTCAAAGATTACGGGTTTGATGCAGCTTTCACAGAACAGATTGACTTTTGCGGCGTTGGAGTCATAAGGTAGACTTGAGTATCTGGTCAAATGTTTTGAAAACCACTTTTAGGTATCTTGGTATTCAAAATCTGCTATGGATCTCATCAACACCGCTGATGGAAACTGTAAGCTACAACTTAGGTTCGTTCTGATGAGTGAAGAAGGTTATTTATCTAATTAAGATCAAAGGCAAACTTACAGGTGTACCTTCGCCCACATCTTATGTTCCAGTGGTGGAAGAAAGCGATAATGGAGATACGATGAGCTTTTGGAGAAGAGCGTTGAATATGTATATGTATATAGGAACAATCTATATTCATCGACGTGGAACCGACCTCACCACAGAGGTCGGCAACTAAATCCAAACAACTTGAGCTAAAATCCCAGATTTTTCTCATCAGCAAAGTTCCTTGCAAAATTGGAGGGTTTGGAAATACCACAGAGTCGCTCAAAGGCAGTGTCCCGGCAGATTTTGCATTTTCACCTTTCTGCATGTTTTAGGCAGTTTCAACATGTAGAACCCGAATATGAGCTTTGAAAGAGTAAAAAGACCTTTTTTGTTGCGTTTACCCAATTTCCAAAATGCTACTCGGACAAGAGTTTCGACAGAAAGTTGGGAGCTCCCGGCACGAAGACCCTGCTGCCTGTAATTTCCTTTGGATAGCATGCACAATGTGGAAGCCGTCGTGGGGTCTCGCGCCGAACATGGGGTTGTGCGCCTGTTCGAGGGCTATTTTTTCGGCGCGGGGAACATAAACCAGCCATAATGGGCCTGAAGGCTAGTGGGGTGACCAGGAATCCCACCACAGCTAAACCCCCCAGGGCGCGAATCTGCCTGGACACTGCCTTCAAAATCTGGGCTACTACAAATGATGCCCATTCAAATCACTAAGCAATAATAACCCCCCTCCCTCCCCCATTATTATATAACAGCTAGAACGCTTGATCCCGCCCTCTAACTTCGTTAGTTACTTTGAACTCTTCTCTCTTTTGCCAGAATGATGCCTTCAGGTATTTCGCAAAATCGACCCTGATTTTCCTCACGTTCGCGAAATTGCTGCTAATGCTAGCCTCTGCTTCGTGAACGCTGATGAGATGTTCGATCTTCCACGGCCAATCATCCATAAGCTAATTTACATAGGTGGATTGCATATAAGTAACCCTAAACCGCTGGACGAGGTTCGTAAACTTCCTTTTTTTCCATCAGTCACATTATTGTCTTCAGAAGTTCAACACTGTAATGAATAAAGGGAAGAAAGGAGTGGTAATCGTTTCACTGGGCACCGTTGTCCCCTTCCACGTTCTTCCCGAGGGAGTGAAATTAGGATTTGCAAATGTGGTTAGATCAATGCCTGATTACCACTTCATACTGAAAGTTAGCAAAGGTTTGATTGCACTTCACGTTTTTTTTTTGAGAATCGCAAACGATGCCAAGCTCTTAACTTCTAGCATGTTTTTTATTCTATCTTGGTTGAGTATTCGGAGCATGCGCTAGGCACGGATAAAAAGTTGAGGTGACTATGTGATCATCGACTACGAAAGTGCTTCTGATATGACAGAGCAACGCATACGTCTGGGATGAATATAATTAAGAAGATGGGAGACTTAGTCTAAGATTGCTAAAATAGCTGAAGAACACGTCGTGTGCAAGAATCAAAAGAACTCCGTGTGTGGACGTATGCTCCGAATAAGAAAATTTATTTCTGAACCGATCCGAAGCAGACTTTGCACACATACACTTCGGGGCCGGGCGGGTGTCGTAGGCTACTTTTCGTTACCGATTGATATCGATTTTATATTTTTGCAAAATTTGAGTGACAGGGTTGGGAGTTGGCACAGGCGTATGTGAGCATGCTGATTACGAATATGTTATTGGCAGGGCCGGGTTTGCTAGCTAGTATTCATATGTATCTTGAGGTAGATAAATACCATTAATTAGTGCACATAATCATAGAAACATTTTTCATTGATGCTGGATGCGTGCAGATAGAGGGCAGAAGTAGTAAACAGGCAATTTTCTCAAAATCCGCAGCCGCCACGCGATGGGTCCTAAGATGCCAGTCTCAGCCCTGCATCACCCTTCGCCTCCGCATCAAATAGCTCTCATCCTTCACAAGAGCCTTCTCATCACAGGCACTACTGTTGGGGTGGCGATGTCCGCCCAGGCGCTACGATTAAGATGTGCCTCAACACAATGTGTCAGGAAGGTTCAAGTCGAGTAGAACTGAAAGCGTCAAAGTGAGGCAATTCTGAGTGCGCCCACGGCCTAACACACTGGCTGTAGCACAAATCCATGGAGTTCAGATTCACTCCCCTAATGAGAGAGCGCTACATCAGCCCATCTGCAACAAACAGTGGCGGTCCCAGGATTTCGGACCGGGGGAGGAGGCGACATAATTTTTTTAAATGAAGATGCGTGGCGTTAGCCACGCATTCCAAAAATTTTTTTGGGTGCTTTTCAGAATTTTTGCGAGTCCCCAACCCCTAAAATCTGGAAAAAGGGGGTGTGGCGTCAGCCCCCCCCCCCCGCGAAAAAAATTTTTTATAAGGCTAATTTGAATTCTTGAAAAATTTTAAAATTCATTCTAATTCTTTACAAAAATAAACGAGTCGTTTGCACATTGTTGTAACGGGATACAAGGCCGGGCCTGATTCCATGTAACCAGTGTCAGAATTTACTATTGTCGACCATGTAAGGAGTACAGGGAGCGCTTGAACTTGCTGTTATTTGGTGAGGCTGGTGGATATAGAGCATTGTTAAAATATTATGCTTTACTAACAAGGTAGACAGTCATGATAATATGCAGGCAGGTGCTGTTATCAGCGCAAATCGTAAGAATAGCGTTAACGTGATGTTTGTTAACCATGTCATATAACCCTAATGCAGAACACAAGCACAGTCGATATTGACCATTTATGTTCATCTACAGTAAGCATGCAAAAAGGACTACAATGAAATGAGTATTAGTTTCGTAATAAGTACGTCGAATAATCCTTAATTTCGTAATAAGTACGTCGAATAAGTCTAAACACCAAGATCACCAAATTCTGAGGGTTCCAAATACTTACTACCCATATGAAATATCCGTTCCCTAACATAGTTAAGTTTGTTTCAAAATGAGGTAGACATCCTATTGCTTTCATTACAAATCACTACATCTTTCTGGTCCTAATTAGGAATCCCATTGCAAATGACCTCCATAAATGGAATCAGAACCCAAAATTCCATGTACTGCCGTTGTTCAGAGGTTATTTAAAGTGGGATTCTTGACTTAGGTGAAGAAAGGGTTGCATTTTTCAGCATAAAAAGGTAACTTATTGAAACAAAGTTGATCATGTCTGAAGTCACCACTTCACTTAGGAGCCCAATAGAAAACCTCAGAGTTTGCGAAAACCTGGACAAGTGGAGTTATCTGACATGAGCTGATTAATGCTTGGTAGGGCCTTTATCTTATGTGGGTAGATTTGTGGTAAGATAGTCCCACTGAGACATAACGTAGTGGGAAGGATCGTACCTAGCAACCGTATTTCACTCCTCTTGCCCGACCTTGAGTCCAATCCATGACAAGAGGCAGGACGGTGTTTTGAAACAAACTGACGCTGCTCAATACTTTTCATACTTTTGTTGCTTATCCATTAGTCAGCTGTAGAAACTTATTTTTGCTCAACAATGACTTTTAAATGGATTCAAAAGCATTGTCATTAACATCTCCCCTTCAATCACTCGATGTTAAAAGTATGCACATTTTCCGGTTTCTAGGTGATACCAGTACATCATCTTTCTTCGAAAACGGATCCAATTGTGACTTTATTGAGTGGTTACCTCAAAGCGACATTTTAGGTGAGTATCAGAACAGTTTTTCAGAAATGTATTACTCATCCTGAATCTCTGCATAGCCCACCCCAGATTGAAGCTTTTTGTTACACACGGCGGCATCAACGGGCTGACAGAGGCTCTACTCAGAGGAGTCCCACTTGTGGTCATTCCGATGTTTGGGGACCAATTTCGCAACGGGCGGAACGTTGAAAAGCGCGGAGTGGGAAAGGTGTTGATATTATACTATTTCAATAGCAACTGGTACTTTTTATTGCTAACCCTTTCGACTATTGAACTTATCGGAAATTACGATAAAAGATGATCGCTTAGGTACTTCCAAAATGGGCACTATCGGAGGATGCGATAAGAGCTGCTATACAGGAAGTACTGAATAATGATAGGTAAAGTAGAACGAGTAGCCAGAGTTTGCTTTGAACATCCATTGTCTATATTTTAGCTACAAACAGAATGCTCTTCGCATGTCAAAGCTGATGCAAACTAAACCATTTTCTGCGGAAGAACGTCTCGTTCAGTGGACCAATTTTGCTCTGAAAAATGGTGCATTAGATGTTTTACACGTAGAAGGCTCTCGGATGAATTCTATAGCATATTTTAATATTGATGTGATAGCTTTCATTTTGTTGATCATGTGCTTAATTTCTACTGCTGTTGCTAAGTTGTTATTAGCCATTAGACGAAGATATCTCATTGAGAAAGTGAAAAAGAATTAGTAAATTATGAATATGACTTTGATTGCATAGCTGTGTAGCAGTGGCGGTCGCAGGATTTCGGACCGGGGGGCGGCGACAAAAATTTCGCGACCCATTTTCGGAAGAGGGGGCGCCCCCCTCCCCTCGCTGTGTAGGGATTAATGCTGGACTAAAGCGCAAATTAAGGAGCGAGAAAGCGGTTTTGTTTGCTGCGGGCATACGAGACGAGGTCTTTACAACGTTGGAGACAAGCACATCCGCTCAACTGATACTGCTTTTGTGTTTCAAACCGGCTTTGTGTTCTTTGTGATAGATCTCATGTTGTTTGGATTTCGTGCATCATCACTGAAAGTATTTTGCAAAGAACTGATACCCTCAACATTTTGCATATTCTCGCGGCCGTGATTGTTCTTCGAGCGTTCGTCTAAAAAGTGGCCAACCTGCTTCCAAATATCTACTGCGGACCGCAAGAATTCAGCAACTATCCGATGCCTTTGATAGATCACATGGCCGCCTACCTCCGGCGACAGAGGTACCATCAACGGTTATTAGCCGAGTTTGGGGTACTTCCTCTCTGCGGAATGTACCTACGAGCTGTGCGGTCCTTCACAAAGGACCGTGCGATCCTCAACATTTTTTCATATTTTCGCGGAAAGTCCACGAGAATGCGACCGCTGGGCCGCAAATAATCTAAGAATAATCTCTACGCGTTCGCCCAAAAGCCTAACAATCTCCCAAATAGCTGCAAGCAGACCACAAGAACACAGCGAACTATTTTTCAGGCACCCGCTTGCCAATAAATTGCATGGCCGTCTACTCCCGGCAATTCTTCGTATGTCCTTGTGCGAAAACATCCAAGCATGTTGCAACTCGTCCGTTAATACGATACTGGGTTCTAGTGTGGAGGCGAACTTCTCAGCCGTCACTGAATCATTTGCGCTGCCGCTTGGGCAGTTTCTTAGTTAGGGCCCCAAAAATACTTTCCAGTGAGATCCCCACTTGTTTGGATTTGCCTGGATACTACCTATAATAACGTGAGATTGTTTTTGCTGGCAATCGTAGGGGTGTGGGGCGTAACTCACATGAAAACACTATTTTATGCTGTTTGATACGTCCTGTGAATTAGCAAGCAAATCGTACTCTTATTTTCTGTCGGAGGCTAGACCGATGAGACTGTGTAAAAAAAATAATACTCGTGTTGAGGCATACGATAATTTACTGTTTTTCCCTTGATTTAGGACGTCTTATAATCGTTTCGAATAGAAAAGGAAATAAAATTGTGCTATCAAAGACTAATTGGACATAAATGTCAAGCAGACGACCCACCTTGAAGAGATGTGTTTTATATAGAAAGTGCATAGAACTAGAACTTTTTAGTGCACCCGCTCTTATCGCCTTCACTCCGTTCTGCACAAACAGTCTGTTCTGTCATGCCGCTGCAGAACTGACTATGAGGCAGCTACTATTATTGTCTCTATCCGTTTTTATGAGTGATGCTGGTAAAGTACTGATGTACAGCCCAGGTATCAGTTATAGTCATTTGATTGCTAATGGAAGAATTGCTGATGCACTTGTGAAAGCCGGACATGACGTGGTAAGTAAGTATCAAATGCAGCATAAACCGATTGCTCATTTAAGTCTGTGCATAAACAGAGTAAAAAAAGCTTCAAAAGCCTTGAAATTACATTCCAAGACCGTCTATAAATTTTGGCATGTTATGTAATCTTCGAATGCTGTAGCTAAGCCCAAGATTGTTGTAGAGATCTATACTAACTTGTTTCGCGTCTCTCTTTTGTTTTTGGCTCAATCAGCTATTGGATTGTATTGATGTCGTGGCGACTGAGCATTTACGAGGACAGATTACAAATACCTAATCCCTGCTCTGAAGAAGACGCAGACGCCAAAAAGTCAACCTGTTAATCCGTGCAGCAATCTTAGCCTTAGCTACAACGTTTATTGGAGATTACACAGTTCTTAAAATTGCACAAGAAATTTGCTTTTTTTAGGTCATGTTCATTCCGGAGTATGCCGCATTGGGTAACTTTACTGGAACAAAGCTTGCAAGAGTTATAAGGATGGACAACATTAGTATGTGCATATTCTATATTGAAATGTCTCAAATTCATAAACGAATCGCCTGCCATAACCACTCGTGCCACCTTTATCTTGCCATTCGTACGTTTCGATTGGAAAACGTCTCGTCAGCGCACAGAAGACAACTATCTATTATATTAGTTCCTGAAAAAAATTCTTTGGAGTTAAAAAGATCTTATGCGTGCTATTGCACAGCTTAAACCTATCTTTAAATGGTAATCAAAGTGAGAAAGTTTCAAAAAAATTTTGGCAAAGAATGCGGGCCGATAACTACTTTCCTCTTTTTTCCAGCCTTAAAAAGCACTTATTTTGCTCTTTTGAAAAGAGTATTGCAGTTACTGTAGAATGCTTGCGCACTGAGGAGGATGTAATCAAACTATATCACTTTGTGCAAAGTTGGTATCTTTTCGCCAAAGTTTATCAGTGATAAAAGAGTTTTATCAATACTTGAGTAAATGAAGGTAGATCTCTACTAAACTTGGTGTGGAACTAGTAAATAGACATAGAAGACGCTCTGCGAGTTCTTTTGTCGAGAAGATCTCCGGTGGTCTGCCATATGTTTGCAGTGTCACCGACCAATTGCTGATCAACTATAGCGGAAGTGATCAGAGTGATCATAAGATGTCGAAAATCATCAATGTGTTGAAGTTTTGTACATGTGTTACACATTTCAGCGCCCTACTGTGCTCAAGTTACTGCAAGTCTAATGTGCAGTGGTGGTCGAGTGGATAAGAGGTCAGCTTTATGGGCGAACGATTGCGTGATCGAATCCTGCTACTTGAAGTATTTTTGCATCGTGTTGAGATCTGTGTCATTTGCATAACCACAAACATTTTCAAATAAAGTACCGACGCTCATACACACCATATTAACATTCAATAATGAAATGCAAATTTGGAGAACACATGGGGATTTGAACTCAAACTTCATTTTCTCCTTGGTCAGGAATCTTGCTACTGCGCCATCGCGTCACTGACGTGCGAAACCTACGAGGTTATCATAATATGTTTGATATCACATATGATCAAACTGTGAAGCTTGTTTGTTGAAATAGCGTTCAATCTAACTCGAACTTTTCATCGAAAAGACTGTGAAAAGGAAAATCCCACAATTCCGGCTTTATAAATTCGGTTGCAATTGCGCAACATTTCAAATTTCAGCATTTATTCAAGAGCAACTGTTGCTAAAAGACTGTAAGCTGGCTGGCAGAAAAAAAGGCTAAAATTCTGATTTCATATGTACTAGAGTAGATCATCACCTTAATATTAGACTAATGATGTTTCAATGCTGCTTCTTTTAAATCGGCTCCAGGAGTTGTACCTGCTATCCACAAACATTTATCAAACCAAAACTCTCTAAACAGATTTTGGGTGAAAGAGTTCATACATATCAAAATCGCTGTGCATGTTTCTGAAACTCATCCTTTCCAAGCAACTGCAAGATAATCGTGGTGGTTAATCGCAATCTACGTCTTTGATAGGCACCGAGAGGTCTATCGATTAATTGCCAGCGGTAGTCTTATCCATGTGCCACCAACGCTAATGAAACAGCAGAAGTCATCAAAACATATCTAGGCGTTTCGGATCTCAACATCCCATGTAAGAAATAGCACTTGACAAACAACGAATGTACAATGATGGTTGATTGGATATGATATCGGTCCCATGAGCGCATGCGTTCGGGTTCAAGTCCTGCTACTTGAACACATTTTTGCACCTTTATAGAAAGAAGGTATTAATTCGCGTTTGCATAACCTGAAAGCTTCTTCAAGTCAACTAGCAGAGCTTTTGCAATAATTTCGTAATCATTTTTGAAATGCAAATTTGACAAGCGCGTAAGGATTCGAACTTTCAAGTGTACCATCTTACCAGTCGCGACTCCTGCTACTGCGCCATGCGTGTCACTTAATATGCAGGATCTGAAGACTATTGAAATCTCTTCATGGTATATATCTTGAATCATGGTGCGCATTTAGCGTTTGTTGTTGTTTTGTTTTACACGCAAACTTTACAGGTTTGAAAAACTGAATACAACATGAAACGTAATTAGCATTTCTACATAATTCACAATTGCACTGAAGATCAAATTTGATAAATCTATATCAAATACTGGAGAAATACTATAATGGAGAAATTAATGTTTACTAGATTATTTCCACCTCATTATTGAGGTAATTGATGCTGCGCGGCGGTTCCTTTCATGGCTGCCTATGATAACGTATCGCGGATATACAGGAAGATACCAGATTTTAGCTTACCTACGATAAGCTATCTGCGGCAACATGTCATAGAATAAAGAAGAAGTATTCTGATAGCATATCATAGAATACAGGAAGGATGGTATAAATAGACATTTTGCAGCACAATCATCCTGTAAGATATTGCTTTTTAGCTCACTCTTGTTCGTCATCTTCCCATTTTTGAGCCTCGAAGTGCTTTCAGTGTTTTGTATGTAAAACTTTTATTCTCCTATAATGCAACTTTCACAATCCTCTCTCATTCAGCTTAGAGAGTTCTGCAACTAATGTACTATGTCACATACCTCCTCAGCTTCTTTGGACTCCATTGTTAAACATAAACATCTATTGAGCCAATGAGTGGCGAGAAAAAATAAAATTATCATTTTTATTCAAAGTTTTCTTAGAATAAAGAGAAAATAATAGATTTTTCGCACAAATCCTCTTAAACCACACTACAACGCCTTTCGTAACAGATTTAACAGAGTAGCAAATAAAATTATCATTTTCATTCAAAGTTCTCTTAGAATAAAGAGAAAATAATAGATTTTTCGCACAAATCCTCTTAAACCACACTACAACGCCTTTCGTAACAGATTTAACAGAGTAGCAAATAAAATTATCATTTTCATTCAAAGTTCTCTTAGAATAAAGAGAAAATAATAGATTTTTCGCACAAATCCTCTTAAACCACACTACAACGCCTTTCGTAACAGATTTAACAGAGTAGCAAATAAAATTATCATTTTCATTCAAAGTTCTCTTAGAATAAAGAGAAAATAATAGATTTTTCGCACAAATCCTCTTAAACCACACTACAACGCCTTTCGTAACAGATTTAACAGAGTAACAAATAAAATTATCATTTTCATTCAAAGTTCTCTTAGAATAAAGAGAAAATAATAGATTTTTCGCACAAATCCTCTTAAACCACACTAAAACGCCTTTCGTAACAGATTTTTTGGGAAGCAACGAATTTGGCAACATAACAGAGTGAATTTATGGTCTGTTTCTTTAAATTTTTACGCTGACCTTCCCTGATATTCATTTATGAGATTCTTCATTTATTCATCGATTTTATTGATTTTTTGAGCATTTCTGACCAGAAAGCTGGGAGTTGGTACAGGGGGGTAAGACTGTATCTTGATTCTAGTAATGATATTCATTTATGAGATTCTTCATTTATTTATCGATTTTATCGATTTTTTGAGCATTTCTGACCAGGAAGCTGAGAGTTGGTACAGGGGGGTAAGACTGTATCTTGATTCTAGTAATGATATTCATTTATGAGATTCTTCATTTATTCATCGATTTTATCGATTTTTTGAGCGTTTCTAGCCAGAAAGCTGAGAGTTGGTACAGAGGGATAAGACTGTATCTTGATTCTAGTAATGATATTCATTTATGAGATTCTTCATTTATTCATCGATTTTATCGATTTTTTGAGCAATTCTGACCAGAAAGCTGAGAGTTGGTACAGGGGGATTAGACTGTATCTTGATTCTAGTAATGACATTCATTTATGAGATTCTTCATTTATTCATCGATTTTATCGATTTTTGAGCATTTCTAGCCAGAAAGCTGAGAGTTGGTACAGGGGGGTAAAACTGAATCTTGATTCTAGTAATGAGATTCATTTATGAGATTCTTCATTTATTCATCGATTTTATCGATTTTTTGAGCATTTCTGACCTGAAAGCTGAGAATTGGTACAGGGAGGTATGACTGTATCTTGATTCTAGTAATGATATTCATTTATGAGATTCTTCATTTATACATCGATTTTATTGATTTTTTGAGCAATTCTGACCAGAAAGCTGAGAGTTGGTACAGGGGGGTAAGACTGTATCTTGATTCTAGTAATGACATTCATTTATGAGATTCTTCATCTATTCATCGATTTTATTGATTTTTTGAGCAATTCTGACCAGAAAGCTGAGAGTTGGTACAGGGGGGTAAGACTGTATCTTGATTCTAGTAATGACATTTATTTATGAGATTCTTCATTTATTCATCGATTTTATCGATTTTTTGAGCATTTCTAGCCAGAAAGCTGAGAGTTGGTACAGAGGGGTAAAACTGAATCTTGATTCCAGTAATGATATTCATTTATGAGATTCTTCATTTATTCATCGATTTTATCGATTTTTTAGCATTTCTAGCCAGAAAGCTTAGAGTTGGTACAGAGGGGTAGGACTGTATCTTGATTCTAGTAATGATATTCATTTATGAGATTCTTCATTTATTTATCGATTTTATCGATTTTTTGAGCATTTCTAGCCAGAAAGCTGAGAGTTGGTAGAGGGGGGTATGACTGTATCTTGATTCTAGTAATGATATTCATTTATAAGATTCTTCATTTATTCATCGATTTTATTGATTTTTTGAGCATTTCTGACCAGAAAGCTGAGAGTTGGTACAGGGGGGGTAAGACTGTATCTTGATTCTAGTAATGACATTCATTTATGAGATTCTTCATTTATTCATCGATTTTATCGATTTTTTGAGCATTTCTAGCCAGAAAGCTGAGAGTTGGTACAGGGGGGTAAGACTGTATCTTGATTCTAGTAATGACATTCATTTATGAGATTCTTCATTTATTCATCGATTTTATCGATTTTTTGAGCATTTCTAGCCAGAAAGCTGAAAGTTGGTACAGGGGGGTAAAACTGAATCTTGATTCCAGCAATGATATTCATTTATATAATTCTTCATTTATTCATCGATTTTATCGATTTTTTGAGCATTTCTAGCCAGA